TATGCTATGCCCCAGTTAATCTTGGACTTTACTTTCAAATAAAGCACTGGGTGTCAGATTTGACAAAGGTAATCCAAACACTGGATGTAACATGGCTAGATAAGGCCTATGACAGTGATGGCAAACCTTTTAGAGACCCAGTGCCCAAACTGCAACCCAAAACCCACTAATTTATCACCAGGTGCCGGATGGGCGTAGCCGCGGTGGTCATTGCAGACTGGGTGGGCGGAGCCAGGGCGGCGGGGGCCAGTCCCTCACCATCTCCGGGGCACGGTATGTGTGCCCACAGAAAGGGTTCTGAGTGCCGCCTCTGGCACGGGTGCCACAGGTTCGCCACCACTGGCCTATGATATAAAAATATTTGTTCTGTGTTTCTCAGGCTTGATGCTAGGCAGCAGTTTACTGCTGACATAATAAATACAGTATTCCTTGTCCAGAACATTAGCCATTTTAAGATAATTCTCAGATGGGCTGAAGGAATCCTCTGATTTTTATTTTTCAATAAGGTATAATGGGATAATGTCATAATTAGAGGAATTCCTTGGAAGAAAGATGATGTTAACAACACTGTGTGTAGGTATTTTTCTTTGGAATGTGTAAGCATATTTTACAAAAAAAAAGTTATAATAAGTAATGATGTCAGGTGAACAACATGATCAACAAGGGAAATATTTTCATCATATCATGTTAACCTTCATGTAATCCATCAAATATTTCTAAATGGGCTGCTTCACATTCAAAAGGTTTTGCATAGAGGACTCTAATATAGTATAATCATTGTTTTCCCGAAAATAAGACCAGGTCTTATTTTCAGGGGATGTCTTTTTCACTTACCTCGCGGCAGCGGCACTGACAGCCCCGCCCAGCCGGTCCACTTCTTCTATGGCCGAAGGAGCAGCTTCATTTCTGCAGCTGAGAATGGAGCTCCAGCCTGCATTTCGCAGACAGAGACCTTCTGGAAAAGCCTTTGCAGTCAAGAACTGAGCTATGGATTGAATCCATAGCTCATTTCTC